TAGATCGTTACACTGAAGGTAGACTCATGTGTTTTCATGTCTGTGATGCTACTGAAGGGAAGATGCATGTCAAAAAGCATTTTGAAAAAAAAAAAAAAAAAAAACAACACATCATAGGTCATTTGAAATGGGCAACTCAAGTTTGCTTCCTCTATATTAAAAAACAACACATCATAGGTCATTTGAAATGGGCAACTCAAGTTTGCTTCCTCTATATTGGTTGTGTTTGATGTTTCCCTCTGCATAAGGTAGTGGCTCTTCTGGCTTTTGCCTGACTTTATGAGAAAGATGCCTATCCCCTGGGGAACGTGTAACTTCTTAGTACCCCTGCTTTAGCAGCTTTCCAGATTTTCCATTAACAGGTTCAGGAACGCTGGGCTTATTTTGTTTTCCGGGTAAGCAGTTTAGAGCGTGTGCATTTCCCTACCTGTTTCCAGAGTGGTAGGAGGAGTCACAGGTAATTGGTTCTCCAGACACAAAGGAGGGAAATAACCTCCACCTTCTTCATGTAACAACCAAACTGAATTCTACAATGTACAGCCTGTGAATCAGGAAGTGTTTTAGATGGGAGGATACAGAGATCTAAATGATACTATTCTTTCCTCTAGGGACTCACAATTCACTACAGCTATTTTTACATGAAGGTTATGTTAATTAAATATGTGAAGTTTTACAGTTGCCCAGAGGACATTGGAAGTCATTGTTCGACACACAAAAAGGCAGAGGAAGCCAGGATCACAAGCCAAATGGATGAAGTCAAGGGAGAATGAATCATTCCTTTCAGAGTATAGGATACCTGCTAGGGGGAGAGGGAAGCAGTGACTAATGAGGAGTGTGTTTCAGACAGCTTATCTGTACCCTTCCATCTTTCCCAGAGCCATGGTGGGACTACGAATACCAGCTGTAGATAAGATGTTACTGCCGAAGAGCAGCCCTAAAGATGCCCTCAAAAGAGTTTCTACATGGTTCTCAGAAAAATGCGTAAATCCTTGCAGTGTCCTTTAGCAGGAGAAAAAGTAGACTTTCAGTGATAAGGTTGCCTTTCAAAGGCATTGGCACGATTTCCTACAATAAAGGCTCTTCTCCCTTTCTGCTTGTCCCCTATAAGCTGATGGAGGAAAAAAACAGGACGTGAAACTCCTAAAAATATGGTGATGTAGAGCTGTAAAGAATCTTTGGAATGAGAGTTCTCCGAATGAGGCAATGTCTCTGTTATTTCTTCCCATTTTTTAAAAGTTCTTGAACTGCTGGGACCGTGAAGAGGAGAGGCTGAGTATGAGGAATTACCGTGGAGAAAAGATCTGCCTGAAATGCTAGACTCCTCTTTTTTCGTGGCTTGTAGGGTATGTGGGAGGAGGTCCAGGACCTTGATCCTGAGTGAAGACCAGCGATATGGCACACGTATAGAACAGATGGTAGCTACTCTTACCATGATCCTCTTTGGGCCACGCATTATCTGGGGCTTGATGACCATTTGTAACTCAGTGTGATAGAGCGGAAGCTTCTGAGAGCACTAAGATCGAAGCCATCAGTTCATTGTTGAGCAATGTTATAGAACTGACTGCACATAGGCTGAGCTGAGTAACCTTTCCGGGGTCGACTTGAGACATTTGGCTTGTGGGTCAGGAGTCTTCTGCGGAGGATAGTAGCGTGCTGGTGGCTTGTACTCCTGGCCTTTGCCCCTGTATATTTTGTGTAGTTGGAGTCAAGCAGCCTGATGTCAGACTGGGAACTCCAGGCCAGGACGGATGCAGGAGTCCCTGGGCATCTGGGCTCAGGGCAAGGCAGCCCCTTCTCTTGACAGAAGATTGGCTTACAGCCTTCATTGGAGGGAGAGGAGTAGACTAGATACCATCTGTAGAGATTCCCCCTCTATTCCTATGTAGGTTATCTCATGGGAACTGCTGTTACTTTACTCCTGTCTGTTCTTAGCCATGACTTCCCTAGTGCCCAACCTTGCTTAGCATTCCTAGTGGAGATGGAGCCAGCTTTAGGAGGTGCAGCCTCTGATCTGAATTAGACTGACCCAGAGGTTATGGAAAGGGCAAGTAAGCTGTGAGTGTGAGAACTGCCACCGCTTTATCATCTGGGAAGGATAATGGCAATAATACCCTGAGAGGAAAGGGTTTGAATATTCAGCAGCTCCCATCTCAGCCACACTATATGGCCCCACAGCAGGGAGCCTTTGATAAAAGTGGTTTCCTAGGGTGGGGATTGAAGTCAAACTTGTTTGTAGAAGCATCTAGAGGTATGTTACTTTGTTATTTAGAGCCCAACAGGGAGACCACGACCATGAGGCTTCCACCCGCTGGACAGCAAGGACCTCCCGCAGCCTCTCAGCTGTCTTCCAGCTCACTCTCAGAAGCAAGGCTGCTATGGCTAATTGATGTATCAAAGATGTCATCACAGCCATCGATGGGGAAACTATCAGCAATCTAATGCACTTGGAAACTCACACACAAAAAAGCAAAGGCTGCACAGAAAACATGACTCTCCCAGAAGCCAGATCTGAATATAAAATCTAGTCTCTTTTGGTGATGGTGGAAAGGAAGTGCCGTCCATACAAGATGAAGTTACCCTCTGAACCCCAGGAGGCCCTGCAGGTAGGATGTGCCTGCAGTCCAAGTGTCAAGCTCTTTACTGCCTCTCCTGCTCTCAGCACTGGCCCTGGGGTCATCCAAACCAGCACAGCAACCCCGCTGGCCTCTCTTCTTCTGAAAACATCTCCAACTTTAATAACGCCTTGAGATCCCATATTGCCGGTATTTCAAAACTGCTGCCAGCAGGGAGGAGGCCAACGGCATGCCCATACGTGTTCAGCCTCCAAGCGGCCTCCTCATCAACAAAGAATCTGAAGTTTACAAGATGCTTCAGGAGAAACAGCAGCTGAATGAACCCTTGAAACAGTCCACCTCTTGCCTGATTTTGCAGGAAGTCCTGAAGTATGAGATGAAAGGGGATCTCCACAACCGTCCGGATTCAGAAATGTTAAAACTCCTGGCACCCAGTGGCTGCATCAGTTGGATGCTCAGAAAGTGCCCATGTGTGACAAACACGGCCCTGCCAATGCAGGCATGTTTGTAAAGCTGCAGGGACCGTCACCCCCTCCCTGAATGTTATGTGTGCAGTGACTGTGACGCTCACCCAAAAGAGAAGGACCTGTTTTCTTTTTTTTTTGGTGGAGGATCAAATCTGTGAAGAGCATGTCCAGTGGGGTACGATGTGGTCACCGTGCTCCCCAAGGGACCTGGCAGATCCGCACTGACCACTGTTCTCCAGCCAGCCTCTCCTGTAGCTTGTTCTCTAAATGTCCTGGCCTTGACTCTTGAAAGTTCTGCGCTTGCCTTGCTTTTTGTTGTTGTTATTGTTGCTGTTTCCCTTGCCTTGGTGTTACCCCTGCTCATTGAATCTCGAGTCCCCTGTCTTGTTAACTGACTCACACTGACCGTGTGGTGCCCGCCGGCCTCTACAATGACTGGCAGACTGTTCTGTGCGGCGTCCGCTTGCCAGCAACCCTCGTACTTTCCCTCACGTCTCTGCTGCAAATGGACACCAGCCGCATTTGAACCAAATCAAATATAGTATGTCTGACACTGATTTCATTTCTGCTCAATCTGTAGACTCCCAGAAAAAAGAAATAAAAAATAATAACAGAGAATTGAAATGAACACACAGACCCTTCTGGAACCCACTGTGACTCGAGACGTGTCTGCAATGCGAGGTTTCAGGCACACACTGAAGGAGGATCTGCTGGACAGTCCTCCCCGCCCCCAGGTCCTTACCAGCCTGTGTCACTGGTGCTTAGTTTTCTTGACTTTAGGTAGACCCTGATTTAAGCAAGACTCTTTAATATTTGAGAGCTTAGAGCTTCCAATTAAAATATGTTAAAACTATTTTTTAAATGTTGCAGCGTTACAAGTTATAAAGTAATCAGACGAGCTATACTACTCAGAAAAGGTAAATTTAATGAATGTAGGTGTGGCCATCCTCTCCTGTTTACCCGACAAAGCCAATGCTTGGCTCTTTGAAAAAGTTTCTGGATTCTTGCATTGGGCTCCATGTTTCCGTGTTCTTCTACAGTGTTTGTACAGTTTTGCTACTCATTGATTCCTTAAAAGCCTCAAGCACTTGAGTTCATCTGGTCTGCCGATTTCATGGGTCTTAGGGAAACAGTGTTCTCTTTCGACTTTCCATGCCATGAGGGCGCTGGAAGGACAGCCTCCGCAACGTTCCCTTCTGTAGTTTTGTTCTCTAGAGGGCAAGGGCACGGTCTGTTCTGTCATTTCTCCAGGCCTGGGTGGGTAAGAGCTGGCGACAGATGGACCAGCAACACGAAGTTCCCTTTGTGTTCTCCTTTAAAGCTGTGTGCCAGGAACACAGCATGAAGTTTTAGTTTGTATTGGTTAAGCTCCAAGGACCAGTCCATGTTTGGGAAATTGAAGTGAGCATGGGCAGGGTACAGAAAACTACTTTTCTCACCAGGTCTCAAGCTGTCCATCTCCACACCTACGCAGCAGAGAGCCAGAGGTAGAATCTTCGAGGAGTGGGTAATGCTGGCAATAAAATGCAGACCTACATAATGTGAAACACACATGCAGAGTTGTTTTGTAATCTCAAGTTCTGGATCCAGATGCCAGTTCCACTTCGAAGTGTAACTTTGAAATGTGACAAAATAGATTTCTGAACCACTTTCTTCATTTGAATAATGGGGATATTGGGCCTCCTAATTTCAGTAGGTAGTTGTGAGAATCAAATGGGAGAATGGATATGGGTTGACGACAGTTGCTGACGGTGATATGGTCTTTCTATAGATTGTTACTCATTGAATCTTGTACTTTTTTTTAATGCAGCTCTAGACTTACAAGTTGCAGTTGGTTCTTTTTCCACTTGTGCAGCAAGTGGAATTTGGCACTGGGGTTCTGACAGTACACACAGATTCTTGGACTCACTCGGTTTTGTAAAAGATGGCTCAATCTCTCACGTGTCCATCTGTCCAACAGCATACCCTGTAAAAAGTGTGTGGTCGTTGGTAATGGAGGAGTTTTGAAGAATAAGACGTTAGGAGAGAAAATCGACTCCTATGATGTAATCATAAGGTAAATATATTTTCTATTTGCTACCCGAGAATTGTTTCAACAGAATATGATTTCTTACCTTAATACAGCTGTGTTTTAAAAGGAAGGGGAGCTGTTTCCATTTGTTTGTGTATTTTATTGCACAACCTTCTCTCTTGGTTGTTGGCGAGAGTTAGGCCTCGTTTTCAGGTTACTCACTGAGCAAGTATTTGTCAAGTCTCCTTAGTGTGCCGGCTCGCTTGTAGCCACAGGGGAGATAGCAGTGGATAAGAACAATGTTTGTGTTCTCTGTGGAGGGAAGAAAACGAGTAATTAAATATGGAAAAATAATAAATGTCAGGCATAATTTAAAAAGGTTGTAATGGAGAATCTTTGAATGGCTCCTTTGAATGATTGACCACTTAGAGAAAGAGACATCTAAGCAGGGCCCAGGTGACCATGCAGTGACAGCCACATGAAGATGATGGCAGAGCAATCTAGGCAGAAAGAATGTCTGCTGCGGGGTCTCAGGAGGAGGTGATCCTGAAGTTGAGAGGAGCAGCAAAAAAAACAAAAAAAAAAACGCAGTGAGGCTGGAAAGCAGCAGGTGCAGGGAGAATGGTGCAACTGGAAGCCGAAGCAGTGAGCAAAGATCAGGCTGCAGAGGACTTGAAAGCCAGGATTGGAAACTTGGACTTTAAGTATAGCAGGAAGCTTTTTAAGGGTTTTAAGCAAGAGAACAGTGCAGTCTGCTTATGTCTTTTAAATACGCTGGCTGTGGCATGGATAATGGAATGTGAGGGACGGGTGGAAATGAAGAGACAATTAGGTTGCGGTATTCAGGTATCACATGATGATGGCTTGGGACAGGATTGTCATAGGAGAGGAAGAGATGTGGACCGACTGCAGATGTGTTTTAGACATAGAGTTATCAGGATTTGTTGCTATTTTAGATGTGAAGAGTAATGGGAATAAAGAAATCAAGGATGCTGCCTCCTCTGTTTTCAGCTTGGGAGATTGGCTGGAGAGTGGTATCATTTATTGCGTTGGGAAAGACTGGTATAGGAGCCAGTTTAGAGGAAAACCAAGATTTCTATATGAACATGTTAGATTTGAGATGCTTATTCAATTTGCAGTGGGTATGTCCACAGGCAGTTGGATACACATGTTAAAATCTTGATGATATGTGGCCGATAAGCTGTATTTAATTAAACCATGGACTGGGTGAGATTTCCCAAGGAGACACTGAGAGAGAAGAAGGTGAGGACTGAGCCTTGGAGCACTCAACATGTAGAGGTTGAGCAAAGAAAAGAGGATGCATAGCAATAAGGTAAGAAGAAAATCAGGAGAAAGTGATCACAGAAGCCAAGAGAGCAAAGCGTTTCAGGACAGAGGGAACAACCAGCTGTGTCCCAGTGCTGAGAGGTCATGCAAGATAAGGACCGAGGGGTGACCGTTGGACTGGTGACCTGAAGCTCGTTGATATTGTTGATAAGAGCAGGCGTAGAGGCCTGATGTGGCAAGAAGCCCGGCTGCAGTAGGCTGAAGAGGGAATGCAGAGAGTGTACACGTGGATATACACAGGAACATGCAGAGAAACCAATGTAGTCCAAAACTTCTGCTTCAAAGAGGAGTTGAGAAATCAGATGGCAGTTAGAGATGGTTATGCAATTGGAAGGTTTTTTTCGTTTGCTTTTCTTTTGAAAAGATGGGAGGCGCTACGGCATAATGGTAAACTGGTGGAAATGAGAAAGATTGGTGTGGTGAGAGAGGGGAGGGGGTGCAGAACACAAGTGCAGTTAATCTTTTGTAATGGAAAGAGAGCCAGGATTGTGGTCACAACTACCAAGAGTCCCTCTGATGTAGTGATGGGAAAATAAGGATCTTTCTAGCTCTATTTTTTTAGGGAAAGGTTGAGATAAGGTCCTCCTCTGGGATAAGCGTGTGTGCGTGTTAGGAGTAGGTGTGAATCGTTTAAAGACTGGCAAGGTTAGCATATTGAGGCAGTGCGTTAGGATGGCCTGGCAGTATTGAGGGCTTCGTGGGGTTATAAGCCACCTAGCGTTTCTGCGTGGAGAGGTCACTTTATTTTCTGTTGACTGTTCATTTTGAGGAAGCTGTGATAATTTACCTACAAAACAATTTTGAAGCAATCACAGGTGTCTCTACCCATAATTGTCTAAATCTGATAATTTAGAACCACAGGAAGCCCTTACACGAAAATGCCATTGGTACAACATTTTGAAAGTCATCTCAAGTGTTATTACATAGAGTCAGTGGCAAAGGGTAAAATAGTATTTATCCTCCTAGGGGACACTGTTTTGCAAACAAAGCATTTCTTTTTCTTAGCATGCCTTCATAATGTGTGCATAAATAGTGCACGTCTAACCTTGCTTTTGAGCATACACAAACCCTACAGTAGATTTGTTGGGGTTCTTTAGTTCACCCTAGCAGTTGACATTCATTTGGTTGTGCTTGAATATAATATAGCAATTTTATATTGTTAGCTTTATTTCAGAGTACAACAATTTTGATGGGCCTTTAAGCCAACTTATGTGTGATTCTTCTTGCCTGTCAGTCGCACACATCCCTGTGCTACATGACTGTGTGGCCTTGAGCAAGTAATTTTCTCTCCAGGCGTTTGTCCTCCAAGGTCTCTTTCAGTTCTGGTATCCTGTGGTTCTGTGTTCCCATTTCTTTTATTTAGCCTTCAGTTCCCCTGGAGGTAAGACTGAATTATCATTGGCTCCACAATTAATTTTCAAATACGGATGAACATTTCTGCCTCCGATCAAGCAACTATCTCATGAAAAGGAATGCTCTCCTTGGCCATTGTGTGTGAAAGGTTGATCTATGGCTTTGCAGTTTCAGAGCACAGGATAAAAGGCTGATGTTTACCTGACTCTGAAGCTTCTGAAAACTGTGATGGCCATGGCACATTCTGCACTTGATCTACATATCTTGTGTGTTTTACTACCCACAGAATGAATAATGGTCCTGTTTTAGGACATGAAGAAGAAGTTGGGAGAAGGACAACCTTCCGACTTTTTTATCCAGAATCTGTTTTTTCAGATCCCATTCACAATGACCCTAATACGACAGCAATTCTCACAGCTTTTAAGCCACATGATTTGAGGTGGCTGTTGGAATTGTTGATGGGTAACAAAATAGTAAGTAGGCAAAATTGTTTTTCCTTTAGATTACCTTTAGTATTTTTTTTTCCTTTAAAAAAAAAAAGCCACATTGTTCTGCTTTCTATATTCTTTATTTCAGAACACTAATGGTTTTTGGAAGAAACCAGCCTTAAACCTGATCTATAAACCTTATCAAATCAGAATATTAGATCCTTTCATTATCAGAACAGCGGCTTATGAACTGCTTCATTTTCCAAAAGTGTTTCCCAAAAATCAGGTATGTATCTATCTCTGTGTGGCTTCAAACTGCTGAGATAGGATAGAGGGTCCTGGGAACTCTCAAAAACTGTCAGAACCGCAGCTCGTGAGATGGTTTCTGAGGGCCATCTCTGAGTTAGTAAAAGTAGTTTTCTGTGGATATTATCTTTATGATTTTCATTTACATTTCGAGGAAATATACTTTTAAATTTTTTTTTTTCCCCTGCCCTTTAGGGCCTTCCTGGGGTCTTTTTGTGCATGCTGAAACAATTCATCTTTCATAAGTGTCCTCTGTGTTCTGCAGTGAGGAGAGTCTGACTGGGTGGGCTGACGGGCAGGCTTGTGCTCAGAGTAGCTGGCCTGGCTTCAGAACGAGTGCATGGCTTTCCAGGCTAAAAAGAACTGTCAGTAAAGTGGTCCAGAAACATTTCTGTGGTCATAGGACATGTTGGCACTGATTTCTCAGGAAATGGTAGTTACAGCAATATTGAAAGAGATCTTGAAACTCCAAAATGAAATCTCACTGACTTTCACTCCTGTTTGCCCACTTTACCTAGAAAACCATACTCTAGACCCTTACAGGGGCAGAGATATTTTTCACTGGAAGCTTGAGTAACTGTATAGTATGATACCTTAGTTGAAATCAGCTTTCCCCCCTTTTTAAAGTAGGGAAAATCCCAAAGAAATAAATATACATCATGTATTTTTACATGTATTTTCATGATTATATATAGCATGGTAAAAATTGTGAATAAGAAATTTATATGCTAAAAATAAATTAGTGTTACACACTGAAAATCAAGTAACTTACAAAGGAATATATAAAAATCAAAAAGAAAGTCACCATTCTTTTCTCTTCCCTCTATAACCCATGTCATCTCCCAAGCTTTTCTGTCTTTTATGTGCTTCCAGACTATTTGCTATGTTTCCAGATACATACACATACCCTTGTTTATTCAATGTAATTATCATTATACTACAGACATTGTTCTGTTCTTTTCTTTTTTTCCCTTTAATTCTTCTCCTATTTATAAACACTCAACTGTATCCAGCATTTTCTTCTCTTTAAATAATGTAGCAGTACATGTGCTGATAGGAGTTTTCTGCCCGTGTGTCGGATTTCTGTAGGATAGACTCCTGAGGATGGAATGCTCAAGTCAAAAAGCATCCATCATTTAAATTTAAAGCTGACTTCCTAGTAATTCGGATGCTAAAGGACAGCTTCTAAATGTGTGTTTTGTGACTTTTCAGCTCCTATATTCCTAAGTGAAGTATGATCAGGTGTATCTTGGTTCTTCATTTTAGGTAATGTCTTTAATTCTAAAAGCACAGAAAGACCCTGAGCATGCTTAGTGATGACATTAGAACTCGCCGTAGCTACGTTAAGGTCCCAGTAGGATATGGTGTCCCAGAAACCAAATGAAAACATTGCTGTATTTCAAGGGAACTCAGCCATGTCCAATGCTGTCCAGAGGCTGAACATCAATAGTAAACCCTGGTTTTAGAAATGTGGAGGTCATACTGGTGATATATATTGACAACAAGAAAGAAGGAAAACGGCTGCCTGAATGGGGTTGAAGAGACCCTGGAACTCATACGAGCAAGCAGCAACAAATTTTTAGTGGACTTTTTGCTAGAATGAGGATCAGAGAAATGAAGCAATAGTTAGATGATACAGGATTGAGGAAGTGTGTTTTGTTCATTTTTGCTCTGTGTGTATGTTGAAGGGAGTGATTGAGCAGAAAGAAATATTCATGATGACGGGAGAAAGTAGGTAAGTACAGAAGACAAAGTGTTGAGATACGGGATAAAACATGCACTAGTGAAGGGCTGCTGAAGTTACATGTCATCCATTATAAAAGGAATAAACACTGTAAATATGAGTGAAGAGATGTTAAGATGGTAGATTTGGAGGTGGGAAGGTGACGTCACTCTTTTGACTGCTTTTGTTTCCTTAAAAAAAAAAAATAAAGATGAAGTAGGCAAATTAGGAGACTGGCTGTTGAGGATACAAAGTTACAGATTCTCATCTTGGAATTTACTATTATTCCAAACAGTATTATTCAAAGTTATAAATTCTTCTCATGGAATTAGTAGGAACGGAAATTTACTAGTCAAATGTAACTGGATTGCTGGGCATACTTAATGCCTACTTGAGAGTTGGGTCATAAATTCAGCATTCACCCAGGTAAGCCTGTTTCTCTCTTGCCCTGTTCTGTTGCTGGGATGTGGGGACAGGGTGACTGCAGTGCTTGTCTCTCTTCTAAGAGTTTGTCAGGTGATAATAGAGGTTCTGTGGGTGATGGGTGCAGAATTGCTGGTCTAAATAAAGGAATGGTTATGTAGACGGATGCAGGACTCTTAAGTTGTGAAGAAAGTTAGTAGAAGACATGAAAAGGCGTAAGGAGAAAGGAAGAGTAATGGGATGAATGATGCTGAATGACTCCTAGGTTACCATGGTACATAGCATAAAGAAAAGCTTATGCTGAAGGCAGTTTAGGCTTTCAGACAAGTTTGTGTCCTGGAATTGATTTGATTTGATTGTGCCTCTTCGATGTTTTTCTTTTCCTCAAAATCCTAATAAGTCACATGTAATTTCAATGAGAACTCTAAGAAACACTTAATTGAAAGTGTTGTATAAAAGCTTAATATATATCTTAATTTTTCTCTTGTAAGGCCATCTCAGTGAGAATTAAAATTTCTGAAAGACCCTCTTGTCAAATATCTGTCACACCGGTTTTCAAGATATATGTAAGATGAGGAAAGAGGATGCTTGGTTTTTCTTTCTAAAAAAAACATAATGGTGCAGTTGAGATTGTGACATTGCTATGTATGCATTTGGAATATTTATTTTCTAGTCAGATACTATTACAGTTTGTCATTGAAGTGCTTGATTAGTCTTTCCCTAGAGTTAGTTTAAATGGAGAGTATGAAATACAGCTATTCTAAGGCGAATTTATATGTAGTCTTTTATCATGATTTCATCCGTTCACGAATTAAGCTGTCCTCACATTTCATACATGTGTTCAAAATTCCGAGGCTTTGCTTTTGCCATAAGGAGCCTGGATCATCAGGTTTTTAAATTTTTTATTTTTTTTAAACAATGCAGCAACATTTTCTTAAGCCTCACAGCATTCTCTCATGTGACAGTTGTCCTCTGGGATAATACTGCAGTTATATTTTAATTTAAAGACTTCCTAGGATTTCAGTCACAGTTTTTTTTTTTTTTTTTAGAGTTAAGGTATCCTTGTATACTCTTTGGGGGCTTCAGCCTTATAATGACAGTTTATTTCTCTCATTATTAAACATTTAGAAATCCCTGTTTTATATGATTTGGCCAGCCAAATATGCTTTGGAAACAAGTAGCCCCTTTTACTTAAAATTTTTTTTCATTCCCTCCCCCAGAAACCCAAACACCCAACAACAGGAATTATTGCCATCACACTGGCATTTTACATATGCCATGAAGTTCACCTAGCTGGTTTTAAATACAACTTTTCTGACCTCAAGAGTCCTTTGCACTACTATGGAAACGCCACCATGTCTTTGATGAATAAGGTAATGTACTATATTGAAGGTAATATGTATATGCTTGGGACTCATCTTTGGGGAATGGAAAGCCCATATTTTCCTCTTCTCACACTCATTTTACTGAGGGACCAGGGGTTGAGGGGTTGAGGGCTTGATGGCGTTTACAGAGCTACTAAAGGCTACAACTAGAACTCAGGTCCGGGGTCATTTTACTACAGCACCAAATCCCAATTTATGGGCCTCATGGTTATTGCCAAGTGTCATCAATCACATTTAAGTACAGAATCTTAGATATTCTATCATATTTGCACAATTGAAATACAGCAGCTGTTGTGTTTGCGAGATTACAGATTCACGTTGGATTGCTATGCTTAATTCTCATGCATTTGTTTTTAAGTAGCCAAGATGGACTAGAATATTTTAATCCTACAAGAGAATCTTCATGGTCAAAAAGGTTAAAAACCTTCATACTGGATCATACTTGAGTAGGGATTAATAGTGAGGTTTTTCATTATTTCTAAACAATTTTACTTAAAAAAATTTTTTTTTTTGAGAATCTCACTGTGTCGCCCAGGCCGGAGTGCAGTGGCGTGATCTCGGCTCACTGCAACTTTTGCCCCTCCAGGTTCAAGCGATTCTCCTGCTTCAGCCTTCCGAGTAGCTGGGATTACAGGTGCCTGTCATCATGCCCAGCTAATATTTTTAATTTTGTTAGAGATGGGTTTTTGTCATGTTGGCCAGGCTGGTCTTGAACTCCTAGCCCCATGTGATCTTCCCACCTTAGCCTTCCAAAGTGCTGGGATTACAGGCATGAGCCACTGCAGCGGGCTAAGGATTTGTATTTCACTTGACTAAGAAAGAGTTTCCTAGTTTTCTAATTTGAACCTAGATGAGTAGTGCATCACAAGTGGTAGGATTAAAATGTTACCTGTGTACTTTCAGTATTGAAACATTACTCGATAGAAAGTATGGATATATTTCATGAAATCAGTCCCCTTGAACCATCCCACTATATTGAGGAAGCGGTATACAAAGCAGGTTAGATTTTAGTATTGTCTTTTGTCCCCCACCCCCACCCTCTGTCCCCACCATGTAGGACAAGCACTTAAGTACTTATTTTAAGAAGTAGGTGCCCAACAGACTTTAGATGAGGCTTATTTCTCCTCAGCCCTGAACTTTCCTGTGGCACTTGTGATATTTCAAGTGTCATCTAAAGAGGAGAATATTAAAACAACTTCCTGAGGAAGAAAATTTGTCTATTCATTTATAGAATAATTTTTTTAACGTATCTTAAACTGAACCAGGCATTGTAATAGTTTAGGCGGGGTTTTTTTGTTTGTTTGTTTTTTTTTTTGAGTTCTAGGGGCTTCTTTCATTAAAGTGAACAACTCACAATTTTACTGTCCAGATTTGTATTGTACCATGATTCGGTCTACCAGGGTTTGATATGAAGGAGCCTTACATATGCGAGAGTTTAAATGGAAAGAGGGGGCTTTAGGGAAAACTTTTGCACAAGAGCCAGCAAGGAAAGAAATTTGAAAGGCAATCAAAAGTTAAAGTACATGCAACTTGTTACTTAACATTCCAGTTCTTTATTCAGAACTTTTTAGATATAAAAAATTGCTGCTGCCCATACTTTGAGATTGGGAAAGATGGTAATTGTATTTTTCTTCCTTAGAACGCATATCACAACGTGACTGCAGAGCAGCTCTTTTTGAAGGACATTATAGAAAAAAACCTTGTAATCAACTTGACTCAAGATTGACTCTACAGACTCAGAAGATGAAGCTAACAGTGTTAGTTTTATTTTTGTACTGCAATTTTTAGTTTAAAATACGTTGGATGCACTCATCAAATAATTATGTATTATATTGTCTGTTGCTGCCTGGTGATTCATAATCACCAGCTTAATTTCTGTGAATACCATATATTTAACTTATGAAAACCAAGAAATGTTTAGTGACGGTATCAGGAAAATGTTTTGATTGCATTGTGTTTTTAAAATAAGCTAGTTTTCTGAGGTGTTTTTACACATCTTTTTATAGTTACTTCATCTTGGACTTTTGAAGGGATATGACTTCTACTGAGGATTTAGTTTACCACAACAATCTTGACTATAATAAGACATTTTCAGAAGTATATTTGGCTACTGTAAACATGGGTGGTGGGGAATCACACATGGCTTGATGTGGCAAACTGAAACCACTTGGCTATGGAAATGTAAGTTCATACTGGTTTAATTAAGCTCTCCCCGACAACCCCAGGAATTAAATGAACCATGATTGTGATGAGTAATCTGGTACAATGAAGCAAGTGGTGGTAAGTTAAAGGAAATAGGCTAAGCATAAAGTTCTGGTTAAGTATATAACTAAAGAATAGAATTACTACAGTCTGATGGCTTTGTATTATTTTAAAGACATACAGTTTAATTTTATACAATGAAGCTAAGCTAGACAAACTCAAGAAGGAAAGAAAAATCTTGAACTTTTTTTTTTTGTCTGGTTTATTCATTAAATTTTGAAGGTTCTCCACTTGGAAGTAAATTAGGAAAGGTAAAGAAGACAAAAGAACAAGTAAACACTTAAGAAAAGTCAAGCTGAGGCTGGGCATAGTGGCTCCCACCTGAAATCCTAGCACTTTGGGGAGACATGGAAGGTGGTCAGATTGCCCGAACAGGAGTTCAAGACCAGCTGGGCCAACATGGTGAAACCTCTTCTCCACTAAAATACAAAAAATTAGCTGGGCATGGTAGTGCACGCGGTAGTCCATGCTACTCAGGAGGCTGAGGCATGACAATCACTTGAGCCAGAGAGGCAGGGAGGTTGCAGTGAGCCGAGATTGCGCCACTGCACTCCAGCCTGTGTGACACAGACTATCGCCTTAAAAAAAAAAAAAAAAAAAAATCTCATTTTCCCATGATTAAAGCTACTCTTCAGATGGAAAGCTTGCCTGGCTACCTAGGGTGCACCAGAGAATCTGATCCAATGCAAGCCAGTCAATCCTACAAATGTGGTAAGCTAGTCTCCTTAAATTTTACTACATATAACCAAAGGCCATTTGGAGGTGGGGGAATGAGAGGTGAAGGAACAGAACTTGTATGGATGGAATAGACCTTGTAAGGATGAAACTAAAAGTTGTTTGAAGATGTTATGAGCTAAGAAAGAATTACTGTCTTTTGAACAATAAATATCATTGGGAAACACTGGAAAACCATGGTTTGATTACTGACAACCAACCTACCTCTCTAAAGAGGGTGTATAAAGGATGAAATATATTAGACTGGGTTCAGAAACAGGAATGCAGTACTTAGGATGAAGGGGGGAGGAGGAGTCGTTGATTTAACGCAGATCAGACATTCATTATGGACTGTGTTTGAGTAACACCAGCATATGTTTAGCGTATGTTTGCAGAGGGCCACAGTTTTGATTCTTCTTAGAACTTTGCAAAAGCCAGAACTGGAATCACATGTAATCAGTGTGACTTCCCCTCATACCACACACCCATAGGCTGCAGTGTGGCTGCTGAAGTTCAGCTGATACAAGGTAAATCAGGCTTCAAAAAGGATGGTGCTGTGGGTGCACAAGGACATGACATAAAGATGGGAACGACAGACACTGAGGACTGGGGCAGGGGGAAGCGGTGGTGGGGAGCAAGGGCTGAAAAACTATATACTGGGTACTATGCTCACAACCTGGATGATGGGATCATTCATACCTCAAACCTCAGCATCACACAATATACCCATGTAACAAACCTGCATACGTGCCTGTAGAATCTAAAATTTAAAAAGTTGAAATTACTGGAAAAAAAAAAAAAGATAGTGCTGGTCATAGAAAAAGTCAAAGTAAAAAACTAATAGTGGCATTTTCCAATGTTGCTGGAAGCACAGTATTGCTATAAATTAGTGATGTTAAAATTGAGGAATCTGGCATCTTTTACAGTATAGGGAAGAGCTACAAACCTCAAAGTTGTTTTATTTAAACCAAATAATCTGAGCAAGACATATATACAATTTATTAAAAACAAATGAACACATTAAAATTTCACTATTTTACAATCTAAATTCTAGCAACATATACAAATAGAGTGACTACAGTACATGCCGAGGTAAGAAAAGTACATTCTGGGAGAGTATCACTGACGCTTAAACCATTTTTATTTCCAATATGTACTTCAACACGTTTGTTTCCACTTTTCCCAGTGCCACACACAGAAAAAAGTCACAAGTTGGATTACATGAGAACTGGTGCCACAGTTGACTTCAAAAGCATTTCATTAACCATCCAACAACTCTTAGATTTTGCAGTTTAGGAACTTCAAGTTCAGAACCAAAAAGCAGAGAATCGTTTCATCTGGCGTGATGTTTCTATAGACTTCTTGCTCTCTAGCTGACAATGTAGAGCCAGGGCAAAGGTGTCTAAGCTTTGTCACTTTCCATAGCTTTGTGGCCACATTCATATTTAGATAAGCTCAGATTCTGCTCCCCTCTCCTGGGAAGGGCGGGGAGAGGCAAGTGTGTATGTGTTGTCATAATTACTGCATTAATTCTTCACTCAAAGCATTTACATCAGCGAATAAACCCATTGTTCAATGCAAAGTGCAAATAGTGAAACATGAACTTAAATAAACTGGACTAGACCCAGCACATACAACAGGATCTGTTTAGATCTACAGCATTTAATAAAGTATAAATCAGAATTCACAATATCTTAAACTGTGCTGTTTCCAAAGATCAAGTAACAGCCAAGTCAGGGTAATTTTGTGAAACCTGTAATGGCCTCATTTGTTGTGTCTCTGTCTGATGTATTTCTATAATTGTATTAACAAGAACAAATTTAATCCAATACACCAGTGACTTTGAGTCTTAGATGTTGGAAGCAAAAGATAACAATTAAAGGGAAATATTGTCAAATATGGTTACTTTCACATTTTCAGTTGTTACTTGATTGTCTCCAAAGCTGTGTATATCAGACATATAAATGTGGTAAAAAACAAAAACAATTAGAAAACCTCTACTATAAAAACAAATGATTAAAGTACAAAGCAGAAAAACCATTTGAATCAGGCTCAGCTCTTCATCTGGAAAGTAAAGTTTATATAAAAGTAGTAAAAACTAGATGTTTTATAAAAATTATTGGTAGTCCAAAGCAGTATGAATCGAGTCTTAAAATATGCATCATTTCAGAAAACACTTGCTTCTCTTAAAAAAAACACTGAACAACAACAAAACTCCAGGAAAACAATCAGGTATACACAATTACATGACAATAGCAAACTTCTTTGGGAAAATGACATACTTATCAAAAGCATCATCTCTCTTAAAGCTTCAAACAGGTATATTACTTGAGGAAAAGCATATTCTCTGTGTACTAAGCATGAATTAAAAAATCAACTGGTTTGCTGTCTTCCCACCTGAAACGGGATGACTGTGTTAATACATGTGCTTTACACATTGCATGTATGTTTTAATAAAAGCCTAACACGTATGTCTTTTGTTTCAAACATTTTGAAACAAATTATGTATTGATTTTTCAATGAATGAAATTGTGCCTCAAAGTTTAGAGAAGGAACAGCCAATGAAAATAAGGCCAACAAAACCATACCACAAAAGGGCAGGAAGTCTGCAGAAATAAACAGTTCTCTTTCTGAAGCAATGTTTTAGAATACTGATATAATTCATGGAAGCAAGAAAACTAATACTGTTCATCTGTATTCAAATTGAGTGAATTCTGGCAACATCACAGTCTGGTGGCTCAGGCCAACAGAAGTGACAGGAACTTTATGGAAAAGTACTGTTCAACATTAAGTCTACAAACGAAGGTTTATGGAAGAGGGGATGTCAAATTTATATACTTTTATCATGTGGTAAGCTGCTCATGGTCTTGCCCGTCTAAAAGATTGTTTTACATTGTTGGCTAATAAATTATAGATGATTTCTGTTTTGCTGTGTCTAAAACTAGCTCTGGGCAGGTATGAACAAGTGGTGACATGGAAGCTGCCAGGAGGTATCAAACACAAAGCAATGAATATTCATTTGCTAGGAAGTTATAATGTCTGCTCCCGAGGTGACATACAGGATTACTCACACCTCTTACCACACAAAGGGCATGATCATGCCGTCCTGAAAAACACACTAGGTTTATATTTTGTGTAACAGTTTATGGAAAATTAAAAATTTTATTGACTAAAAATAATAAAGTACCTTGAGACTCAAGAAAAATGTATATGTTTATGTGTGAACGTATAAAACCAAAAAGGACAAAATCTAGTTACTTTTTAAAGAGGTAATTTATATTACTTCTGAGTGAATAATTTTGCCTTTCACGGTGATAAATGTAAATGGGTCATGTTTACAGTACCCCCTTCGAAGCCCTTGATTGTTCATAACTCTCCTAGGAACAATCCCATTGCAAATAAAGTTGGGGGTGGGAGAACAACCTCCTTAAAAGCTCTCAAATTGTAAAGCTGTTCCTATTTCCACATGGGGAACGTACTTAAAGACAAGAAACGATCTGAATTCATGTGACTGATAAGGCAAGCATCACTCAACAGAAATACTCAAAACATTTTATAAACACAAGAATGGGGCAAGCCACCAAGGGCCTCAAGTGGAACGCCCAAGGATGACAGCAGGTCATACACCGTGAAGCATTAAAGCTCTAAAGAGTGTCACAAAGTGAAAAAGCAATGCCCCTGGCTCCTTACAAGTCAGTGTCCCCGCTGCAGATCTTAAGATGAGTAAGTGGATATGGCTGCAATCAAAACAATGCTTATATCACTAACTATTTAAAAAAACATATCCCAGAAAGGAATATAGAATAGAAGAGGAAATCATGGTAGTACCCATCTTTCACAAACAGTCTAGAATTTCAAGCCATTAGATATTTCAAGAACAGTACCGTGCATTATTGCCAGTCAGGCTGAGAGAGCCATCTCGAGTTCATTAATGTACCTGCAGCATTGGTAATAAATACTCTCAGTGATTTTTAATTTCTTTGAAGTGCATTATAGGGAGCTTTTTCTGTATTAAAAATAGTGTTCTACAGTAGTATCAAACAGGATGTTTGAAATTTAAGAGGCAAGCAGTAACTCTGCCACCATAACACCTTTAAAGCAAGATGGCAAGATTAGTAGTTTCCTGTACCTCAGTCACCACATTTTCCCCAACCACTTCAGTGACAGATATGTAATACATTCTATATATTACTACCACTAATAATTAAAAAAAAAAAAAAGGCCATGTGCTTTAAAACGATGCTTTGTAAAAAGCAGCATCACCTTCAAAGGATTTCTTCTGAAACATCGCATTCTCCATTCCTTCCTGCTCCTGATACTTCCTGTACGCTCTGTGGCACCTGGTATACCAATTCATCTGGGGCAGCTGGACCTGGCTTCCCACCTTTCGGGGTATCATACTGGGCCTGGGCTGAGGAGCAGCTGTCAGTCCTGGAGAGAAGTGTATTGTAAGTTCCCACTAGCGGGGGAGGCTGGTTCCCCGTAGCTTTGAAAGTGGATGTGGAGGGCAGAGCAGCTGAAGCTGTGGGGTGCCCGGACATGTCC